ACCAGCCAATCCTCACAACCAATAAGTCTGAGGGCCAATTCCTCTCAACGAAGCACAAAAAGCCACTAAGGCTCAACTACAACAGGAAGGCACACACAACCCACACAAGGGATACACTTTGGACACCCAGCTCAGGTGACCAGGGAATACTGTGCCACTGCATCCCACAGGACACCTACTATATAAAGCCACTCTACTGAGACCAGGAGACTTAGAAGCCCTACCTAATACATAGAAACAAACACAAGGAGACATCCAAAATGGGGAGACAAAGAAACATATTCCAAATGAAAGAACAGAACAAAGCTTCAGAAGACGAACTCGCCAAAATGGAAATAAGCAATCTACTGGATGCAGAGTTCAAAACACTTGTTCTAAAGATGTTCAATGAACTAAGGAGAATAGTAGATAAACTCATTGAGAACTTTAACAGAGAGACAGTAAACATAAAAATGTACATGGAAAACATAATAGGGAACGAGTCAGTAATAAAAAAATACAATATCTGAGATGAAGAGTACATTGGAGTAGCAGTCTCCAACTGTTTTGGCACCAGGGACCAATGCTCCTATTAGTATCTAATGTCTGATGATCTGAAGTGGAGCTGGGGCAGTGATACTACTGCTGGGAAGCAGCTGCAAATACAGATAAAACTTCGCACGCTTGCCCACTGCTCACCTCCTGCTGTGCGACCCGGTTCCTAACAGGCTACGGACCCATACCAGTCCACAGCCCAAGTGTTGGAGACACTGGCATTAGAGGGAATCAACAGAATGGATAAAGTGGAGGATTGAATCAGTGATTTAGAGGATGCATGTAGTGGAGGATATCCAATCAGAACAGCAACAAGAAAAGAGAATCCAGAAAAATGAGGATAGTTAAAGGGGCCTTTGGGGCAAAAACAAGTGTACCAATATTCACATCATAAGGGTTCCAAAAAGAGAAGAGAGAGAGCAAGGAATTGAAAATCTATTTCAAGAAGTAATGAAAAAGAATTAAATGCTCCAATGAAAAGATAAGGTAGCCGAATGGATAAGAAAACAATATCCTTTCATAGACTGCCTACAAGAGACTCACTTAAGATTAAAAGAGACACATAGACTAAAAGTAAAGGGATGGAAAAAAGATATTTCACGATGGACCTAGATGGTATTGTGCTGAATGGAGTATGTCAGATAGATAAAGATAAATGCCATATGATTTCACATACATATGGAATCTAAAGAACATAATAAACAAAAAAAAATACAGAAACAAACTCATAGATACGGAGAACATTTTAGGGTTACTAGATGGGAGGGGAGTGAGGGTAGGTGAAAAAGGAGAAAGGGATTAAGTACAAAATGATAGTTACAAAATAGTCATGGAGATATAAAGTATAGCATAAGGAACATAGCCAATAATATTGTAATAACTATGTATGGTGTCAGATTTATTGGGGTGATCACTTTGTGAGTTATATAAATGTCTAATCACTATATTGTACAACTGAAACTAATATAATACTGTATGCCAACTATAATTAGAAAATAAAAGTATTATTTAAAAGTAAATACATACATACATACATACATACATACATACATACATACATAAAAATAAAAACAAAACCACAATGAGATACCACTTCACATCCACAAAGATGGCATTAAGCAAAGACAGATAGTAACAAGTGCTGGGAAAGATGTGTAGAAATTAGAACTGTTGTGCATTGCTGGTGGAAATGTAAAATGAGGCAGCCCCTATAGAAAACAGTCTAGCAGTTGCTCAAATGATTAAACATAAAGTTACCATATAATCCAGCCATTTCACTTCTAAGTATATACCCAAGAGAATCTAAAACATAAGCCCACACAAAACCCTGTACATGAATGTTTTTAGCAGCATTATTCGTAATAGCCAAAAGGTAAAATGACCCAAATGTCCATCAACAGATAAATAGTTAAACAAAATGTGATATATTCATGTAATAGAATATTAGTTGGCCATAAAATTGAATGAAGTACAAATGCTACAGCATGGGTAAATCTTGAATACAGTATGGTATGTGAAAGAAGCCAGATATAAAATGTCACATATTATATAATTATATGTGTTTGTATGATTTCGTTTATGTTAAATGTCCAGAATAGGCAAATCTATAGAAGCAGCAAAGAGATTAGTGGTTTCCAGACACTGAGGGGAAGGGAGACAATGGGAAGTGACTGTTAATAGACATGGTGTTTCTTTTTGGTGTGATGAATATGTTCTGGTATTAGGTAGTGATGAGTAATGCATGACTGTGAATATACTAAAAACCACTTTAAAGGATGAATGTTATGGTATGTGAATTATGTCTCAATAAAGTTACTTAAAAAAAATGCATGCCAAATTCCTACTCAGAAATTGTTTTAGACATTTTTTTACTTCCTCATGCTTCATTCATCACCTTCACTGTCTTCTCAACTGTCTCTGATTATGTACTTCATTCTTACCTTCCAACTTCCATTTTGAATTTGAAGAGACTCAGTATTTGGACATTGCATCCACAATTGTTTTAGTGATGGACACGTGATCCATGTCAGGCCAGCTAGTACCAACAAGACTTATTTTAGCGGCTTCCATTGCTCTAACAGAGAAGTGAAATGTCACTGCTGGATTATGCATTATGAGATTGAAGGTACCAGGGGTATCCAGTAAGAGCCTGAAAAGGGAAACCCAACCAAGACAAAGTATCTCTTGATGGCTCCTAGTGAAATAATTTGCATTTTGGATTAAGCCATGCATGAAGTGTGTTCTACCAGTAAACATTTAAGCTTAAAGTGAGCTATACATTGCCTATTTTGCTTAAGCTAGTTTGGATCTTTTTTTTTTAAGCACTTGGAATGAAAAAGTCCCAAATGATATGGATTGTTTTTCATGGCTCCCTATCCACTTAGGACATGATTTCAAATCTTCAGCCCTCATAGAATCATGCCTGTTATGTCTACCATGATCAGTTCCTACCTATCAAAGGAGGGATATCAGACAATTTCTATACCACAAGACATGTAAATTGAACTTTCAAGTAACTCAAAAATAAATGGGCATCAAACACTTATTACCCCTTAATTTTAAAGTTGAAAAGAAAGTGGTGATACTACAATGCAGAAGGATGGTACTGGAATCAGGAGTTATTGTCTTTCTAACCAAAAGCCAGAGATATGTATTGCCAGTAAAGGGGCAAAGAGTGTGGAGTCCACAATAACCTGGAGAAAGGGTAAATAACCCCCACACGAGGAATGTCATCAGCTATCTATGAGAGCCAACCAAGAGGGTACCTGTAAATGTGTGACTTGTGATTCGGGAACATATAAAACTCCAATATAGGTAGACATCTCAGAGAAACCAAAAATCAAATGTGACTATAATTAAGTAATCTGAAACTTAAGTATATACAGTACTCTCTTGCACCTAGCCTCATGCTTGGCATCTAGCAGTGCAAGTAAATATTATTGAATGAATAAATGAACAACAGGATCCACATGCCAGAGAGAAATCTAAGCAGCTTTAAATAAGCAATCATCCTCCACATGAGGTCCAGAAGATAGGGTATCTTACATAGAAATAGACATAGTTAGGAAAATGGAAGTGCATATAGCTAGAGACAATAGAGATATAGACAGAGACAGAGATCTGGCTCTGTGTGCTTGGTTAACGTACATCCACTACTTGACCTCAGACCCACTCTCACTCTGGACTCCCAATCTTGGACTCTACTGTGTAGAACAAGGTAAACTTCGCCTTTGGTGGCATCTTGGCAGTCAGCCAGCTGGCTTTCATCTAGTGATAACCTCTGCATTTGTCATGCACTAAGCAAGCCTTAGCACTGCAACTACATTAACAGATGTAGTGAGCTGTGAAAAAGACAACCTTTGCATCAGGGATGATGTTTAAAAAGGAGAAACCATGCTAGATAATTCACATATGTCATTTTTGCTGTGTGATTCCTCTTTCTACAATCTTATATTGGGAACCCTTGAAAGAGGATCAGGTGAGAATATTACCTGTGAAAAAATAGTTCTATGCCCTTTGTGGCACCCAAGAGAAGGTCTAGAGAGACCTCCTCCATCTTCAGTGGAAACATTACGTTGATATAGGCAGGGTGCATCTCTTGTTCTAGATAAAAACATGTTCCAGATTA